GTTGAAGAAAGGCCACAACATTGATGAAGATGTAGCTCGTACTCATTTTGATGCAGTCGATAAGAACAAAACAGGAAGACTCAACAAACACGAGTATCTTGCTACGGCTATAAAGTTTTGGGTCTGAAAATTGACAGGTTTGCCTGACAGACTAAACTTTCTTGATAATGTACATGTCAGAGATTGTACATGTCAGAGTTTCATTAATTTTTGTTACTTGTACACACATTAGCCAATTTCTTTTATTAAAAATAAAAGAGTAAAGTGAAAAGAGTGTTAATTATTTATTGTAGCGACGGTGCAAACATGTAAAGATTATTGCCTTTTATAAAGCAATGCACACATAGTATATTTAATCACAGCTGATTGGCTAATGCTGGAGAAATAATTCACTTTTGGGAGCCTGAGTCTCCCAAGATCAAGGGGAGTATGAATTTAAATTAGATGCCTGTCCTCTACTTATTAATTGAACCAAATCCTGTCTGTGCCAATGCTATTTGGTCGAAGCTAAGCCAAGAATCTTTTAATTGAGCCTTCTTGTAGTAGATATAGATCTTGCATCATAGCAAAAAATCTATCTATGAAAAAGATGAATGATGTCTATCAATGGAGAGCAATTTATTAGACTGTGTAACTGCCTTTGTCAAGCTCCATCTTGCAGTAGGCTGACCAATGGCAAAGCTGCATAGACGTAGGTCTACTATATCAAGAGAGAAGAACACCCCTAAATTGTCAGTAGCTCTGCCATTGTCCCTTTTTGCTTTTTCCTCCCCCTCTTTGCTCTTTCCTTCTACACACACACCCACAGAGTTACTACATCCCCAATTTTGTTGCTCCAAAATCAGGGACTCCTTGCCAAAAGTGCCAAGGAGAGAGTTCTCCATTTTTTGCTGGTTCAGATCACAATTGTTTTTCTAACTATTTTTTAAATCCTCCAAAATTGGGCCAAAGCCCTATAGTACCTTAGTAGATTGGGCCAAATTTCATGAAAAAACTAAAACAAGAGAATTCTACAAGTTTTTATAATTTTTTCTGATACATGTACATGTCCTTGTGTTGTGTAAAAAGTTTGAAAATTAGAAGATCGGGTCAAAGTTCATGTACAATATCCCTCCACTAGTTGTATACCACCCAACATTGTCCCTCCAGTCTCAATCCATTGATCTACCAATAGTATCCTTGTACCGGCAGGAAACGCTCCCTTTCTCATTTCCATGATTTTACCAAATGTTACAGAGTTGAATACTAAAGTTTTTAAACAGCCTGGTGTTTCATTTAACCTTCTTCATTTACTTTCCATCTCTCTCTCCTCCTCCTTTTGTGTATTTTTATATAGCATAATGTGATCATGACAATAATTATATCCTCGAAAATCTATCGGTGGACATATCTTTTGAACTATGTGTACATTTGGCTTATATAGCAAGAGTTTATTCACTCTTGATACTAGTTATCCAACATAGCTTTATAACATTAGTTTTGAAAACAAACACACAAAATATAATATTACTCTTTTGTATCTCTTTCTCCTTCACTTCACTTGTAGTCTTTCCCAAGGAACTTATGCTCATCAAACAATTGCTGCATATCCTCAGGCACTACATGAGCCAGTTTATACTTGCTACGTAGCTCATTCGTTAATTCGTTAGTCTCCACACAAATGGTAGCGAGCCCTGCTACCACTCCTCCCTGTCCCTCCACTAGTTGTATACCACCTAACATTGTACCTCCTGTCTCAATCCATTTGAGAAGAGTGCGATTTCAGCTCTGAGAACTGATCTTAGCTAGAGCGATGACACCCAGCTATCCTCGGACCGTCGAACTCCTAGGTCAAGAATGGGTAAAGATCGAGATCAGGAACAGCCCTCTGACTCGTCCACTATCACCGTCGTCCTTCCAGATAGGGGAACTGGATCGTAGAATTGACTGTTGACAACAAATTCAGGTTGGGGAGTCGATACTCCAAATATCTTTGTGAATGAAATAGGTCAAAGACCTTCCTCTCTCTCAACAGTATCAACAACAGTCGTGACTCTTAACAAAAATAATATAATGGTTGTATTTATAGTTTTACAATCCATGAATAATAATTATTAATAATCACTAATAATCGATAATTAATCATCAGGAATCTTGAAGATTTCACACCATTGATCCACCAATAGTATCCTTGTACCCGCAGGAAACGCCCCCTTCCTCATTTCCATGACTTTCCCAGACCCAGCGTAGCAGGAATATGTTACAGAGTCGACCTCGACGCAAAGTTTTGAAGCTTTTCTGATGACTAGTAGACCTTTACCAAGCCTGTTAGCAATGGAGCCAGCTAGTGGGAAACCCATTGCATCAATGCCAGCGACAAGATCAATATCGGCTGCGTTAAACTGTGAGACGAGATCAGTCGTTAGATCAGAGAAAGCGCGAGAGTCGATATAGATGCTAGTCGGATCGAGCCATGCAAATTTATCTCCTTTGGTGTTAGGAGCAATTTTTGACAAGTACCAAGCTGTTTTTGGAGTTGTAATAGAAAGGGATGGAGAAAGAGAGTGGGAACGTGTAACAGCTATCAACTGCCGTAGCTTTAGTGGATCAATGTTATGAAAGTCAATGGAGATACCAGTAGCAACAAGAACAGCATCTACATATGGAGCATAATCAAGAGCATTCTCGGGGGTTACTCCAGAGGCAAGAGCAAGAGCCTTTCCTTTACAGCCAACATTCATTTTTTAAATCTTTTCTATGCTTGCAGATACTCCAGTTGCCTGTCCAGAAGTGGTTACGACGTCCATGTATCTAATTGCTATTGATGCTGCTCGCTCGACTAGCTCATCTTGTATGTGGCGCTGGCATTTGAAAGCAGTTCCACCAAAATAAATCCCGTCCCATCCGCTTTTCTCTCTGACCGATTTGATCCTCTCTGCTTTCTCTTGTATCTGAGGCTTTCTCTCATCCACCTCCCCATTGTCGGCCCAGTAGGCATCAACCTGGTAGCCATTGGAGGAGAGTTTTCCTAGCTCTTTAAAAGCAATGTCACCAGTGACTCCTAGAAAATTGACACCAATCCAGAGATATGGGAGCTTTTCTCTAACCCCCACTATTATTGGTAATAATTGGACATAAGGGAACTCATGGTTAATGAGAAAGACGCCCTGAGCTCCTTCACTCGCTGCTAAGAGTGAATTGCGTATTGCCTGCTCTTCTGATCGGACGTGGATCACTGGGAGGATGGCTGGACCTGTTGTCTTGAAGAGTCTATGGAAAGCTCCTTTCTCCATTTTATACAAAAGGCGTTTGTGGGTGTGGCTCAGTGCAAGCTGTAGCTGTACCTAGTCTGTACTGTACACAATCTACACATTTACTGGCTAATAATAAATACAGGCACAATAACAATAAATTTGTAGCAATTAGTATTTTAGTAGTAAAACTGTGGCCGTTCTACTTTCCATTCTTTTTGCTCTGCTGACGTCATAGCCTAAAATGCAAACTTCAATCAAAAAAATGATAATGCCTATTTTGAACCTCTTTTTCTGGATCTGAGTAAAGATGTATCTTGTCTTCATCTAAATACTCCTGCAAAATTTTACTTTAAACTTAATTTGTGGCTTGATTCTTACAACTGACATTTTCATTGTCATGGAAATCATTCTTGTTATATTCTTCAAACTGATAGTCTGCTTCTTCCATCCTCTTCCTTTTACTCTGTGATTATTTGTTTTTATTTCACTGAATATAAAATTAATAAAATATTTCCTAACCTGTCTTTTAAAGTAAATAGCTCCAAACGCTATAAGAGTACCTACAGTTCCAAGTGCTATAATTATGCAGACTGGAACAAGAACAGTGACAATTACTACAGTGGACTCCCCTTGGTCTAAAATAAATTATAACAGAGTCTAGTATGTACATTATATAATTCTCACCATTATCAATTGCACTAACTGTAACGTTAGCCTCATTTGATTCAATGCTTAACCCTGCTTCATTAATCCCTGATATCTGGCAATATTATACACAACCTCATCAATCCATGCTATCATATTTTCTAACTCTCACTTTGAAAAGGTGATTTCCTGGACCTGAGACTTCTATGTTCTTTATAATCAGTCCAGTAGTGCCCTGGCCTCCCTCTTCAACTGTTACTGTAGTATTTATCTATTCATTTATAATGTAGTATACATTATACATGCTGCATTAATTACCCAGTTTTGTTGCTGCTCCTCTTTATGGTAGATGGTGTAGTTAATGCTGTTCTTGCTATTCAAGCAGTCAGGAGGCAGCCATTCCAACTCAACAGTGTAAGTATTAAAATTAGGAGTAATGTCCCTGCCCATTAGACTTTTTGGAGGACTTGGAACTATATGATAAATCATGCCTTATTGCTACTATAATTATTGTGATCACTTACCATCTGCATTATTCCTTATGTCATATGGCTCTTTATATATAATCTTACCACTCTGGTATCCAGCACTGATGCGCACTTGAAGGGTCTCATTAAACAAGAGATCACTTATAACAAGCCCAGGCTGGGATAGATAAGTATGCTGCACTGTTGTTCCATTATTATATTCCAATGATGCATTATAATGCAAGTCAAGACCAGTATCATTACTGAGACTATTCCAATCAACATTAACATCTGCTGTGCATGAAATAGAGGTACTTAGGTCTAAAGGAGGGAGAACAGTAACTGGAGCAGAGAAGGTATGCTCTTTATTGTTGTTGCATTCATCTGTTGCTATTAGAGTCCAGTTTATTTCTTGACCGGTAGTGTTTAGTAAATCATTCAAATTGTCAAACTTTATGTGAGCATGCTGACTGTTACGAATGGAGCTTTTTGTTGGTAGACTCTGACGAAGTGAAACATTATTAGATTGAAGGATCCATTGTGTAAGCAATGGAACAGGCTGTATTCTCTCTGTCAGGAGTGAGTACTGATATTCAAACACAGTTTCCCCATCAGGAGATAATAAGACTGATTCAGAGTCAATCAATGGCATCAGGGATACGTCTGACTTAGGAAATGATACTGTTTTAGATGATATTATCTCTTTGAACTTAATGCCCCCAATGTCAGTCCCCTCTACTTGATAAAACAATGGCGAGGCTGTCTTTGGTACAGTAAAGCTACCTATGATGGCATCACTGCACTTTGATAGCTCAGCCTTCTCTCCTTCAATAGTACCATTGACATGAACCAGCTCAAGTGAAAGTGATTTATTGAAATCTATCTTTGCTAGCTGTGCAGTCTGAAGAATGACACTTACTGTATCACCTACAAATGGGATATATATATATATTTTTAAAATACACACATATACATGCACCCTATTAGTGCTTTTTCTTACATGAATAAGGAGGGTCTGATGTTGGGTGCAGTTTTTGTGCTTGTTCATCAGAAACAACATAGTTCACATCAATTTCAATATCCATGTCAACAGAGAGAGAAAAGTCTATTACATCACCTGCAGAGAGGCACATGTTCCATTGACCTTGCAGAGGGTGATTCTGCTGATAGACAGTAAAGTCTCCTTGAACACTAATGGATTCCACTGTACCATTAGGAAATGTTACTGTTAGTACTGGATTTAATGTACTTCCTTGAAGCAGAACAGCAAAGCTCCCTGCAAGCACAGAAATGTTAAAGTGAGCACAATTATTGCTAGAGACGTTTTGAGGGTTGATGATGGAAGGATTGCTTTGAGCTGCTTGACTTCCAGCAACACAAGTGTCTAAGCCATAGCCGGCATCCTGCTGTGCCTTGTATAAGTAGCTAGCAAACTGTTTGAAAGCTTGTGTGGTTATCGAGTGAACAGCAAATCCACATGTTGCATTTGATATAGCTGGATAGTTACCATATCCATATACAATTGATGCAGGATGCGTACACCCATTTTCGTTGCTGTAGAAGAAATGAACCGTAATATCAAGACCATCAGGTATTGTTGCATTCCCAATGACATAAGGATACAGTTCATCATCTGCAGCTGATGCATCTGTTAACACTATGACATTATGCTTCCCGGCCTCCTTGATATAAGGATTGTCAATACTATTGATTAGCTCTATTGCTTTCAATATGCCAATCATTCCGTACTCTGGGCAGTCATTGCCTCCGTGTGCCCCAAGGGAGTCAACATCTGTTAAAAGGACATCAGTTCCATAGACTGGTGTGCCTCCTTTGTTCACACTGAACCCAATCTGTGAGTTGGGATCATTACTGGTATAGTGGGCATCATAAATTTTATAAAACTCTAGATCTAAAAAAATAATACTGATTTAATAGCTAAGTTTTAGAATGAGAAAGCTCACTTGATACGTAACCTGGAGCATTGTAGTCATTGAAAGCAACAAGGACATAACAGAAAGTGAGTATGTTTTCTTCGCTTTGGATAAACTGGCGGATGATTTGTCTTGCTGCAGCAATCTCATCAGCCATGCTACCAGTAGTGTCCACAACAAATGCAAGACAGTTCCTTGCTTGAGTCTGAGTAGTTGACTGTGGACAATCACCTCTTGTTGGATCAATGTTGAATATGCACGGCCAAACATCAAATGGATCCAAACAATCTTGAAGCTCTTGAATAGTTGGAGAAGAGGCACAATCAAGAACAGAGGTGCTGGTCGATCTTCTTTGCTTGTTAGTCGACTTGGAGACATCAAGTATCCTACCAGACTGCTTCTGGCTGCAGAGCAGCTTGCCATAGTCTTCTCTTACACTTTTTCCATCAGTAAAGTTCATAACATGTTCTAAAAACTGCTTCAAAGTGTTCATAGTATTATCAAATTGCTGGTCACTGCCTTCACATGCAACAAAGTAAGAGTTGGTTATCTCGTTTAGAGCATTGTTAAAGTTTTTCATTCCTTTCTCAGACTTTGTTACATTGCTAGCATTCGCAATAGCAGAATAAAGGGCTTCTGTAGAGTAGCTTCCATTTATGTTGGTGGTGTTGGAGCCCACAGCTGCTATAAAGTTGCTGTTAACAAGGGCAAGGACGTCCTGAGATGCATTATCACGCTGCTTAAAGTAATTGTTTATCTCGTTAACAAAGCAAGTTGAAGATGTGGAAAAGGAGACAAGAGACACAAAGGAAAGGAAGAAGAGGAAAGCTTTGGCATCCATTCCTCTTGGGTGGTGTATAAGGTATTGAATGACATTCATGACTTTGAGAATAATATCCTTATTATCCTGAATAAAATCATGAGTAGCATAACAAATATAATGTTATGCATGGGAGGTTGGGGGAGCATGTGAATAAAATTCCCTTACACAGCATAAACCATAACCACCTCTGCATGTTATTACATTCACATACATACTCAGCATAACTTCAATTACATCAAAAGATGATGATAAAATAAATATAAAATTACAAATGAAGAATTGATAAGTATCCTGTATAGTTTCTTTACTGTTTATCATGAGGAGGGCCATAGCAGTATTTGGTGTCAGGGTTACGATAAGAGTTTTCGTGATGTACACTCTAAAATTAAAAAAATTCATCCGTTAGCACTCATAACAGTTACTGTACAAGATGATTTAGTGGCAAGGCGAATTTGCCTGTGGAAAGTTAATCGGCAAATTTAATATTGGCAATTTTATGCCACATGCCATTGAGCATGCTCAGATTGAAACAAAATGGCAGATTTTATATTGGCAAATTCTTTATAGAGAACCACCAATCGCCAGTATTAATTCCTTGCCAATAAATCATCTAGTATGGCATACACTAACTTGTGATGATGTCCTGCATTTAGCAAGGCACAGCTCGAACTGGTCTTTGACAGACGAGTAAACTGGATGAATTGAATTGGTGAGAATATCTTGTAATACAGGCTTCTATGGATTAAATAAAGAAAGCTGATTATCCTATAATACTGATCTATTAATATACAATGTACATGCAATACAGTAAAACCTTTCTTATTATAACAGACATTTTCTATAGCTGGACATTCAGGGTTTCCCACAGGATTTCGGCATAGTGCTCAGAATTTCCTATTTTTAATAATTTTTTTCTGATACACACAATGTACATACTGTACATGCATGCATACACATGTACTTATGTTGTGTAGCAAGTTTGAGCTGATTCCGAACGAAATTAGATTTACAAATTTTTAAAGGTACTAAAAAATCGGACCAAAGTCCCTGTCATTGGCTAAATTTTGCCAAAAATGACTATGAGAGAATTCTCCATTTTAATAATTTTTTTCTGACATGTTCTCGTGTTGTATAGCAAGTTTACGCTGAATGAAAGAAACTGTATAGTGTAAAAAGTAGACAAGTTACTTTGTCAGAGCTGAGACAACATGAGACACAATGTTCATATACAGCACAGCACATTGAAGGAGCACAAGAGCTACAGTCAAATCTAATGGAGTGATCAATATTGCAACAACCTGTTGGATTAACCATTACTATTGGACACACGTATCCTTTAAAGGGGAGAGAGAGAGAGAGAGAGAGAGAGAGAGAGAGAGAGAGAGAGAGAGAGAGAGAGAGAGAGAGAGAGAGAGAGAGGTGGTCATAACTACACTATTTAAACAATCAACACATTTAGCATAGCAAAACATTATTATTAATCACTAATTAGCATGATTGATGACACTGCCTATTTATACTTAGAGTTAAATTATTTGTACATGTATATACATGTACCTAATTCATCGGCAATGAGTCTTGGGCCTTGAACAGAGTTCCGGCAGTGATCCAAAGTCGAGCTGTTGTCAAGCGAAAGCCACGTGAACTCTCTCAAAACTTTGTGAGCCAAAACTCCTGGTGAAATCTGTGAAAACAAAATATTTATTTTTTAAATCTTTTAAAATAAAAACCCACTTTTGCTGGGCCTAGCTGGGTATAAAAGAAAAGAAGGGCTACAATAAATACTAGTAAAATCCCAAAAATCCTCTTCTTAATAAAGATGGTCTGAAAAGGCATTCTCTCCCCCTTTCCTTTCAACCTAAAGACTGGACGCCATGACAGTTAGTGAACGGAGAGGGTGTGTCAATTTCCAGTGGCGTGTCCCCGTTTATTTCCGTATATTTAAAAATTTCCGTGCACTAACAGAATCCCACCCGTATATTAACCAAAAAAAAGAGTTACAAAGAATATGAAAAGGTCCTGTGACTGGTGACTCTTCTCTCGCTCCTCTTGGGCGTCGAGTTGCTTTACTGCTTAACTCTAAGAGGTAAGGGAAACGTACTTTGTTATTTGAATGTCATTGCTCTCGCCTCTGAAGCCACTTTAATATTCTCCTGGTCGATTGCCTGCCCTTAATCACTCCTACTTCTCATTACATTAGCATTATGATAGGTCTTCACACGAATTATTGACTACTAGTAGTGTTAAAGGAATATAAATAATATCCAACATTTCTCTTTATTTTCTCCTTGAATACAATAAGCAAAATTCTATTGTCATGACAGTTGTCTGCATCTTTTGTTTTTAAAGTTCTTTAATCTGTTTTCTTTTATTATTATTATGGTATATGTTAGTTCTCTGAGTACAATATGTATATTTGTGTATTTTTGTGTACGTGTAACATGTACATGTATTTAATTACGTACATGTATGTGGGTGTGTGTGTGTGATTTTATTATGTCTCAAAGCTTAATGATGACCTTTAGGATTCATTATATGTAATAATAATAATAATAATAATACTAATAATCGCAATAATAATAATTATTATAGTAGTAGTAATAATAATAATAATAGTGCTTATCAACTTCATCTTACTATTCTTGTCTATTTGACTACTTTTCTGACAGTTTTACTTACATGTAAATTGAAGCTAGAGCAGTACATGACACTATAGGTAAAAGGTGGGTATAGTGGTACAA